ATTTTGGCCAGTTGATTTGGTAGTTATAAACTTGAGTGAACTAGATTGGTTAAAGGCAAGATAAATTACATTTTTTCAGGAAATTTCAAATTGTGAGAAAGTACTGAAAAAAATACATTTGTCATCTTCTTTTTCAGTAGGTAGAAGAGTTACCTCTGAATGCAAAGGTATCATCATTTGTAAAACTTCAGAGAGTCATCATGCAGTGTCTCAGATTTAGTAATAATGCCAAATTACCATTGTGTGGAAGAAATTTGGGATTTCTAACTATGAAAGAATTGGAATACACTATATTGTATTGTGTTATGCAAGTTTAAGTGATAAGCTTTGCTCCTGAACTGATATATAGTCAAGCAGATAAATTGCTAGTTATAAATTCACACAATTTTAATTTGTATTTTTTTTTAGAGAACAAAAGTGAATTCAGAGTTGGTGGTAGGTTAAAAATGCTAATTTAAAATTCTATTATATGCATTGAGTTTAACCTGATAAACACACTTTAACAAAACATATTTTCTTAAGAAATAGTCACATGTTGGTGCTCAATCATTGCTATATCATGCTCAGTAAATTTTTTGGCCATTAAATAGAAAATCACTTTGTAGAAAAGTTGTGCATGATGGTACTTCTTGTTTTAAGTCTAAGCCATTTGGTGCAAATCAACTTTTAGGTAACATTCAAGGGATGTTCCTATAGCCACACCTGCTCCCCTGGGAACTCACAGACAAATCAATATGTCTTGTGGTATAGCGAGAGCTCAGCATGTGTGCATCTCATTGTGCTGATATATACACTCATGTCCATAAATTAAGGATAATGCAAAATCAGGCAAAGGAAGAGTTAGAAGCAAAACAAATATAACTTATTTGTAAAGCTTATTTATTAAACAAAAGGTAAAGAGCAAAAAAGATGCTATATGTTTGATAGTATTAAAAAAATTAGCGATTTTTTCTCCCTGGAGCAAATTAAAAAAAAAAAAAACCTATTTACAAAAGACCAATATTACATGGTTGGTATGATTGTTAATACATTGTATGTCTCCCAGACGATGCAATACAGTCCGTACAATGCCTAGGCATGCCGACTATCAAATTATAGATCTGATCTTGGGGGTTATTACACCACTCAAAAAGCAATGCTCTCCGACGTTCTGGTAGACATGTAGGAGGAGGTTGACGGGCTGCAACTCATCAGCCAAGCATTTCCCACACGTGCTCTACTGGAATCAAGTCCGGTGAGAATGCTGGCCAGTCCATACGGGTGATATCTTCCGACTGAAGGCATTCCTTATGATGTTTGCACCATGAGGACGGGTGTTGTCATCCCTAAACACAAAATTTGCACCCATGGCGCCCCGAAACAAACGCACATGTTGTTCCAGAATGACGTCCCGATAGATTTGGCTTGTCATGGTTTCAATTTGAACATGCAGGTCAGTTCTGTATACCAGAATAATTCCCCCTCAAACGAGCACTCCTGCACCACCGTAACAGTGTCATTCAATTATGTTTTCTTGGTGGTAACGGGTACCTGGAGCTCTCCTTATGAAAGTCTGGAGAGAATCAGACTGCAAGCTAAACCTGGACTCGTCGGAAAACATCACACAAGCCTACTGTTGAGTATCCACAATGCATGCTCTCTACTCCAGGCTAACCGCAGGCGACAGTGAGTTGCAGAAAGTGGAACTCATCTGACAAGTCTACGAGCATATAGACCAATCTGCCCTAAGTGTCTGTACACGGTCTGCCTTGAAATTGTCGTACCAGTAACTGAAGAGAGCTGACGAGACAGGTCTGAGTCTGTGCTCCGCCTGTTTCTTTTGGCAGTAACTGCCAAATACTGGTCCTCATTCGGCGTTGTAACTCTGGGGTGACCAGTGCTGTAACGTCTACTCACATTACCATCATCTTGGAATTGTTGCCAAAGCCTGGAGATGACACTCCGGGCAATTCCAAATTCGTCTGATACTTCCAGTTGGGTACGCCCACTTTCCAGACGGCCGATAATTCTACCACATAAAAAATCATCCAAATGCATCCTTTGTGTCATAACTATTCGGTTATTGCACTGAAATGCTTATAAAGTGCCTGCGAACAATTTTACTTCTTTGCCTGTATTCCTTATATATCACTCTCGCCACTGTGACGTACCATCGGTGTCATCTGGTTACTTCCTGATATTTGCATATGATTCTTGAAGATGTGTGTAGTGATTTTACAGGTGATATATTTATTTTAGAGTTCGATTTCCGCGTGACTCAATTATCCTTAATTTATGGACATGAGTGTAAAAGGGGAAAGTACACTAAATATTGAAGATATTTTTCTCTTTGTCAGAAAGCTGTACTTCATATAAAAATGACTCTGTCTTACAAGGTGGGAAAGTCAAACAAAGTGATAATGATAATTTTTTTGATGATTTTATTGTAAATAGTTTTTCCCGTGTATTTTATTCCCGAAATAAAGATTTTCATGTCTTTAACTTCACAGTCCTGATTTGATGATTGTCTGTGATATTACAGCTTGCCTGCTGCTGAATCACTAAACCAATCTATTACATACATAATTTAAAGGAAATCATCATCTATTGTTCTGTAATCTGTTCAATTTGTTAAACTTTCAGTACCATTTATTAACCTATCATCCATGTAATCTTTTCATAGGCTTAATTTGCACTGATTTTCAATGACACTTTGGTTTTCACCAACAGGAAATCTAATAAGTCCAACTATCTGGCATTTAACTACGCAGAAAGCTCAAGTAACCTGAATATTTGTGAATTTCAGAAACTTCTTTTTAACGTAAAATTAAGCAAAAAAGATATCTGTAACTCCATTATAAAGCACAAACAGAACTAAGATTTAAATAAAACAAAAGTTGTCACCAAACAGTGCTATTTAGTGCAAATAATGAATAAACGAGACATTACATAAAATATGTAACCCAATTAATTATCAATAAGTCAGTTTAATTTGTAAGTAAAACAATTTAAGTTAACTGCTGTTTGTCTGCTTTTGAAATGGATTTTAAAAAGTTGATTAAAATTGCAGCCTTGTCTTTAACAGAATAGCATGCAGTACAGTATTTTCAAGTTTATGGGATCAACATCACGAAAAGTGCAATTTATATAAAAATGAATAAACACAAGTTAAGCAATGAAAACTTATGATAAGCGATTTAAGTTTCTTATAAATTATGCCTGTAACTCTCATATATTGATTAATTAAATAAAGAGTGTTCTTTTCCTTCAGACTTCTGCTATAATGACTGACATAAGTCTGGCGAGATTTCTGCTAATTTTCCTGGTTGACAGAGTTTTATAATCAAGTATGATTACTTACTTCACCGCGTATGTCTGAAATGTGATTTTTTCTTTTGAAATTTCATGTAACTTAAATGTAGACATTTGATATTCAAGTTGATAACAAATAAATGACTCCTTTCACAATTTTAGATTAGAATTTTTTTCTTGCATTCATTTGGCTTTTCTATGGTGAATTCTATTTTTTACTTGCTCAATTATCTGAAATTTTTGCATATCTGGAATTGGGCATTTCCTGAGCTTTCCAGACAGTCAAGCTTAACTGTAACAAAGTGATTTTTTCACTTGGTTGAACAATCAATTACATCAGACATATGTGTACCCAAGCTGAATTAATTTTGCTCCGTTCATGATTTTTGATATTTTCAAAGAGAAAATTCCACACTTTAAATAAAAAAATACACAAGAAGATACTTTATGCAAAATTTGGCGTAAATGGTTTTCTTAATTTTGCTTTGAAAATATTCCAGGGTAATCGTTTTCATTACTGGAAGAAATATGAAAAACAGATTTACTACATTGTGTCAACACCCAGTATGTCCTTATTCTTTTGAAAACTAATTTATTTTAGAAATTTTAGAAAATAAATTTTCTAATTTCTAAAATAAATTAGAAAATATATTATGTGCAAATAGAATATTCGTTAAAAATGAAATAGACTTCAACCTTTGGATATAACGATGGGTTTAGACGAAATTTCTACCTATTAAAAGAAATTGACGTATAATTAATTTTTCATGAACATTTAAAACTGTTCTCAAAATTCTTTTGATGATTGCACGTATAGGTCACGGACTTTTTCTCTGCTAACATAAACAAAAGCCAATTTTACAAAGAAAAATTCTCGTTAAAGATATACCTTTTTTGCCTGATAGTCCAATGTAATATTTGTTAAAGTTAAATGATTAAACACAACCAATGTATCTCGGATTTTTATTTTTATATCATAATAACAAAATTATCAAAAAAAAAGCAGATTTAAATCTCTGTTATTGCTATGTAAAGCTTTATTATTGCTGTAAGTTCATCTTAAAATCTAATTTCTAATATTGAATTTCATTCTAATCATCTAATGCTAATAAATATTATTATTATTATTATTTCATTAAATTAGTCATTACCATTATTTTATTAATGAAAATATGTTATTAAAAATCGCATTCCAGCCTGCAGACCTACAAATCTAGTCCATATTTACTATATTTTGTTCTCGCTTTCTAATTTCTAATATGAAAATACGCGAATATAAATGAAGAGTGAAAACAAAGTTAAAAAATTCACAAATTATTTACAAGATTGATTAGAAATAGTGAGTGAAATATAAACATTGCATACATTTTGTTCTAAATAAATTGTGCACTGGATATGCATCCAGTACTCCATTTTTATTTATGCACTATTTATTTAGAACTTCATTTAAATGAAAGCAAAATAATCATCGAAAAAATTGCAAATCTAGCAATTCCTCTACTATGGGATGTAAGCGTCCGACAAACATGTAAATTTTACTTCATCCATGGAGGGGGACTAACGACTTTTCTCATTAGGAAAATGTCAAAGAGGGGGCAAAACTGTTTCGGATCGCGCCGGTCTGAAGGCTATATTATGAGAATTTCGGCCCGGTTTTAGAAGGTTAAGCTTACAAATAATTTAATGCACTCAAACAGTATTGTACTTACATTGCTTTAGAATCAAATTTCTCAGCATGGATGCTATCACCATGTATTAATGAATCACTATCCTTTGAAAAACTCTGAAATATATACATACAAATATTACTTATAATCAGCATAATATTAAGATTTATTTACAATTATTACTTTAACAAGGAAAAGAAAATCACATATATGTAAATTTTCATAATATAAACATTTTGTTCAGTCATAATTTTTCCCAATAATCTGAACAATAATCTCTTAAAAGTCCATATTTGCACAAGAAATAAAATAATTATCAAATTGAAAATAAATAATCGATTTGATGACAAATGCAAAATAACATCATGAATGAACGCTGAACAGTTAAATATAAATTTTTTACAAACTTATTCCGTTCAGAGAAATATATAGTTACAAGTATACTTACATCTCCAGTTAGTTTTAGCTTTCCAAATCGACTTCGATCAGTAGATGGATCATCAATCCGCACAGCGCAATTTGAACTATCTTGACGAAAATTTCGAATAGGTTTCAAAGGCGTACTTTCAGTGGTACTTCCGTATGTTTTAAGCACGTCATCGTCATCTGCTTCAAACGCATCGTCAATTGTAAAGTTCGATTTGTTACCTAAACCCAACATTTTGCAATTAAGAAAATATTCTAGGATAATATAAAAGATCCAAATAGAAAACGCAATAAATACGTTTAAAAATATTTCATTTCCAAGATTTATTCCAACGATTTTATCACTTATTTTATATTATATGATAATTTTTCAAATATCTATCAATCCAATTAGCGACAGTCAAAAATATCACACAAAATATCCATCCACTGACGAAACTCAGTAATCAAAACATAAACAAACTTTGTCAGAACACAGCTTCTTCTCACTTCTCCTTAATATAATCAGAATCAGGGGTTACCAAAAAAAGAGAGTGGGGAGCTAATGTTTTTTATTCGGTAAACGTTAGATTCAGAATTATGGTTTTTATTATTTATAATTTATTTTATTATTTATTTCTTTTCGAGTTCTCTTAGCTATCGAAAGAAAAGCTCAAAATGAATTTAGGAATTTATGAAATGTTTCGAGCTGCAAAACTGGCAATACTGAATTTATATTTATTTATTACGTAAATTGATGGATATGTAGTATATCAGTTTAAAATGAATAAATTCAAATTAATTTCATTTATTACCCGGAATGAGAATTTACTTTTAGGGGTTTGTTGTAGTCCACAATTTGCTGCAAATGCTCGTTTCGCAAGGTTCGACAATTTTGTTAAAACTTACCTTTCAAATTATATAAAATTTGTCAGTTTTTTTTAAGTTAAATTTTCATTCCTTAGGCTAGCAGAAGTCGGTAAATTAGAAACACCGAAATTAGATGGAAAATATGACACTGGCCAGGTAAATTATTGGAGATTTAATTTAAATAACGCAGAAGCATATGTTTATTTTAGTGTATGACGTGAATGTAATGTTCCCTAATTGAGTTGTCTGTAATGGACAGTATGATCTATTTTTTTGGTGTGCATTACTAATGACAGATCACATACATAGCATAGCAACTAGTATAAACCACTCTGATATCAAATAAATCATTGTGTGAAATTCCATTATTAAAATACGCAGCATTTTGTATAAAGTGTAGTGGAGCTTTTTAAAAAATTGTTTTTTCCCGAATTATAAATCTGACTAAAATAATTAAAGATATATTATTAATTATCGTAACTGAAACATTTTAAATAAATTATTGATTTCTTTTTGTAATCTTAACCTTGTTGAATGGTTTTCTAAGCTATCAATTTCAATATGAATAATTTGTAGTATAAAAAAATAGCAGTGCAAGAATATAGAAAGAAGTTTTTTTCGATTTTGGATGATATATCCCAAGATTTTTATCCATGTATCTTCAGGGCAATTTCTGTTCCATATATTTCCATAACTTTACCATACATTAAAATGTATCATTAAGATATTAATCATATACATGTTATTAGCCAATAAAAGGTAGCATGCATATATATGTATATTATGTGATCTGTCATTGTCATGTTGATCACACATATATCATTAAGCAATAAAAAATGTCTGTCACGGGTGAAATTTAGCTGTGAAAGATACAGGCTTGATACAGACTTAATACATGGACAGTGGAAACTTCGGTACATTTCCATTTCGCCAGCACAAATCTTGCCAAGCAGACTATTGGCGACAACAGACAGTATACACATAAAAAATGTAGACAAATATTAGTTCCAAGAAATTTTATTTTTAATTATTTATTTATTTTTTTAATGTCATTTAAAATTTTGTAAAAGAGCCAATAAATAAAGACAATAAATTTTTAAAAAGACAATTTAAGAATTTACTATGCTTTCATAGTAAAACATCCTGATTCGCCAGTTCATATCACGTAACCCCCCCCCCCAAGTGATCTCATCTCGCGTAAACTACGCTACAAAAATCTTAATTCTCTCAGTAATTATCTACATTAATTTCAAGTTAAATCTTAATTTGGAATACAAGTTTAAATGCAAGAATTATATCAATTCTGATGAATAGTTTACTCAGAAGAGTCTGTTGCTACAATTTCACTGCAGAATAATTGAATTATTCTGCAGTGAATTAAAAATATTTAAGAATTAAAAATATTTGCTGCATTTTTTAATACAAACAACTGATTGCCATGCGAGATTATATATTTTAAAAATGTGCCTTAATTTTAGGGTGTAAATGAGAATACGTGATAGCATTAATTTCCTAAGGATCATAGGTGGATATTTTATTAGAAGTTTCACTTATGTTTGAATATGTATTATGGGTAGTTATATTTTATGCACAATGCATAAAATATTATTTTTTAATGTAAAAAGTTTTTTTAAAAAAAAGCTGATGTGTACACCACATGACTTCTTTGCGCATAATGTTAAATTGGCTAATCTTTGGAATATGGTAACAGGTAGTTTGGCGACATTTTGGTAAGGTGGTAAAGGTTACTAGCTAGGACTTTAGCAGTGTACATGTATAAAGTCGAGTGTGCACAATGCCATTTTTGTGCAATTCTGGGATTTTTTTTTAAGTGAAAATAGGTCGACGTGTACATGGATACCGTGTATGTGCAATTCTTGAAAACACGGCAAGCAGTTTACGATTCTGCACTTTCTTCTGATTGATTTCGCACCTAATCTTCGTCATGATTCAGCACTTTTGTTCCATAAATGTTCTAGCATAAGCGTAATTCGGCTAGCAGATTGTTGGAAAAAATGCTGAGTTAAAAAAAAAAAAAAAAATACACGATTTTACTTTGTGAAAACAAAATGGCGTCCAAACAAAAACAAGCAGGTTGCTGTAGCAGGGTTGGTCGCCAAAAAATCGCCAAGTTACCATAATCCAAAGATTAACCGTTAAATCAAACGCATTTTTGCCTGCATTTTATTTAAACTTATTTCCTTGAATTTCATAAGAGCTGTATCTCTCATTCAATTGACTAAGTTTGCATGTCATGGCAAGGCAAAATTGAAAGATATAGAAAAATATAAAACATCAAATACAGTTAAAACAATTAAAGAAACATTTTCACAATGAGATACATTCCGATGATATCGGGGGCCCACCAGCGGCCAAGCGGTAAAGACACTGAACACTGGTAGTTCGGTCGGAGGTTTGACTCCCACGAACGGGCTGGCTGCATGGGCGTTTTCATGGTTTTCCCCATGTGTAAGGTGTATATGAGTCAGTTTCTCTTAGAAAGTCCTCCACAAAGGCATTTCTCCCTTTAGGCAAATAGCCCTCGTGTGCTTTGCCGTAATTAAATAATCCAATCCGGTGACGTCAGAGATCATGTGATGTAAGAACTGCTAATGTAAACAAACAAGCTTGTGCTGTGGTAGATATGTTGAAAATTTGGAAACTTTGTTTATTTTTAATTGGTTATGAAATTTGCATTTCATCTTTAATTATTATTTTATCCATTAATTAACTGTTTATTCATTTGGTTAGTATAATTTTGGTAACTCATATGTTATTGTTATCTTCATGGTACTCTTCTGCTCGCTGCTTTACCATGGTTTGATTGTTAATATTTATTTATGAATTCTTTTCTTGATCTGATAATTAATTCATTTATAAAAAATGTAAAAATGAATACATTAAATCATGTTTACATAGAGTGTTCTTCTACACTGAAAAGAAAGTTACAATAAATATTTTTAAATCATAATTTTATCAGATTAACAAGCAGAATGGTAAATATAAATAGTTTCTGAAAATCGTAATAGTCAAATTTCCAGCCAGTTGGCCCTTAAATCATGTAAGAAACACGATGCCAGTGTTCTGCACAGTTCAAAATTAATATATAATTTTATACAACTTAAAATTTAATTTTTAGCAACTGACTATTATCCTATTGATAGTATAAACTGCAAATTAACACATTTTGTATACTATAATATAAATGTCACAAAGAAAAATATGGAGATTTGTGCAACTGAGTTCACTGCAGCACTAGCTGTGAAATTAATAATTTTTCATAATACACTTTCATTTTATAATAATCAATAATAAAAAAGTACTATTTGTTTACATTTTAAATATTCAAAAAATAAATTTGAAGTTATTTTTATTCTTGTAAGTTACATAATTTTGTGCAGAATTTTTTATTATAAAATCATGTTGCTCAAAAAGATTTTTAAGTGTATTTATCAAAAAGATCTATGGAATTTTCAATAAATACACTTAAAAATCTATGGACACTATGGACTGACACAACCACCGATTTTCAAGAACTAAATGTACATGCTAATTTAATATTTAAACTAAAAAACTCAGCAATCTCTCATGAAAATTTAGAATTAAGTATAAATTCATATAAAAGCATCCTTTTATATTAAAATGTTCCAGTATTACTGATGTGTCTGATATTACAGCTTGGTATCCTTAATATCTACAATGGAAGGTATTACAAAAATTAACATTCTGATATTTATGTGTATTCATTAAAAATCGATTACAACAGCTAAAATATTAAAACATAGCCTAATGAAATTAATATAATTTTAACACCATAAAATGTTCTATGACACTAATTAATATTAATGAGAGAAAATTGGCTTTGTATTTATGTTCTTGCGGATAAACAAATCTTTCCCGAATTCGGCTATTTCAGTAATTTAGAACAACTATTCATGAATTATGAATATACTATTATTACACTTACATTTAAAAGTTTGGAAAACGTTATTCAAGATCTTGGGAATAGTTTTCAATTAACTGATATACACTTAATAAAAACATTGTTAATACTGGTAAGCATCACGCATAAGAAAAATTTATAAATCTTACCTCGTTTTCTGCAGAAATTTGCACAGATGTTTCATAATTAATTGATTTCCTCATTTCGGCCTTAACACAGCTTGCTATAAATACCGTGATATCCGGCATTACTTTGAAACAAATATTGTTCACGTGTTTTGCCTTGAATAACAAAAGACCCTATATGTTGACATCAAGAAAAGATAAATCATTTCCAAGCATATTTTTTAATTTCTCGCAATAGTCATAAATTTCTAAATTCGAAAAATCAATTCATTTCAGTGGAATATCTGCTATCAACTCCATTGTAAACATAGCACATGTGGATGTTGTTCTTAAACATGTGACCACAGGTTTCCTCCTCTTCTCTTGCGGAATGTATGTCATTAAAATTACAGTTTCTATGCAAATACAAGCAATGCGGCCAACAAGCAACAAGGCAGATTTTTCAGTGCACAAAACTAAAAGTTTCCTTTTGGTCCCACTTGGCAAAAAGACACTGAAGGTGCAGAAAGAATTAATTCACTATTTTGCTGTTTCAAATGTAAACAAATATGGCTGCTATGGTAAAACAAATTAGGCTTAACCGCACCTAAACAACTTTTAAATTGTTGATAATTCTACAAATATTGCATGCAAATTAACTAAAGTCGGTACTTTTCCATTTCGCTGGTGCAAATCTCGCCAAGGAGACTTTATTGGTGATAACATACAGTATACACATAAAAAATGTTAACAAATGTTAGTTCTAAGAATTTTTAATTTTGAAGGCATAAACATTTTAATATCTTTTAAAATTTTGTAAAAAGCCAATAAATAAAGACAATAAATTTGTAAAATAACATTAGTTTAAGAATTTACTATGCTTTCATAGTTCAACATCCTAATTCGCCGGTTCGTATCATGTGACCCCAAGTGATCTCATCTCATGTAACGCTACAAAAATCTAATTCCCTCAGTAATTATCTACATTAATTTGAAGTTAAATGTTAATTTGGAATACAATTTTAAATGCAAGAATTACTTCAATTCGTACGAATAGCTTATGTAAAACCGCAGTGCTTTATTTCGCTAGTGCATTCTCATTAGAATTG